TATATTTATTTTATGTCAACGTATAGTAAATATTATGTATATAATAAAAAATCTAGATACCATTTGAAGTTATCTAGATAAAAATCATTGCAAATAAAAATTAACGGTGTTTAATATTTCTTAGTAAAATGTATATTTTACGTATAGTAAATAGATAAATAGTAAATAAATTCTATGTATATTTACTATTTGCTATCTAGATAAATCTATCATCTTTATTTCTTTCGGTAAATAAGAAAATAAAGGGAACGGATATTTTGTCAGATCTTAGATTTCTGTTAAAAAATAAAATGTGTTTAGTGTTATGACTAAAAGTGTACTATTTTGTTAAAGTAAATGGACTATTAGTGCTCCATATGGAAGAATATGTATGACTTTGAGTCTAAAGTCAAAGATAATGTATGTTTTTGGGCTTTTTTCAGTGTTATAACTAAAAGTGCACCACTTTGTTAAAGTAAATATACTATTAGTGCTCCATGTGAAAGAATATGTATGACTTTGATTCTAAAGCCAAAGATGATATATTGTTTCGATCTTTTCCTCACTATATCTGTGTGGAAGTAGTGATCAGAGGACAAAATCTACAGGTGATAATATCAATAATGAGAGAGGGTAAAGTTAGGAGACAAGAAATTGACTTGAGTCAGTGGTTTCTTGAACTAAAGCAGATAAAATGACAGAGGAAGATTCTTCTTTTTGCTAGACAAGCACTTCTTTATTTGATTATGATTTTTGAACAAATACTACTGATGAGAGACACAGAATGCATGAACATATATGTACAGTACAGACAAGGATTGCAAACTTGCAAAGGCTAGTAATTTATTTCTGCGGTGTGAAAAATTATAATTTTTTGTTTTCTACCATGAAAAGAATGATTTTTCGTTTGTTACTTTCTGGAATTGTCCCATTCTTGGGGTGGTCACTTAATTCTCTTAACACAGGTATTGCAAAGGGCACTGACCCTCATGTACAGTCTTTGCAGAATCTGCAGTTAAGTGTTCTTTTAACCATTTAATATTAGATTGTCATTGGCAGGAGCGAGCTACAAGGGTAATTACGGTTCAGTCGAACTCAAATAACTTTAATCCAAACTCTATATTTGTATTAAGAAATTCATTAAATTGTACAGTAATTAAATTCAGAACTAAGTTACTAACGGTTAATATCACTATTCTAAAATTTAAAATTCATAAAATTCAAATCCTGACTCCGCATCTGGCCCTGTCGTTGGCCACACGAATTCGAATTTCCGTTGCGTAGAGCTCTTTAATGAGAAGTACTCTCTACCAGAAATTTTTCATGCTCAAATTTGAAACCTTTAATTTATCAGTGGAGAGATCACATTCATCTTATCACATTTTTTGATTGTCACATGCGTGTTAACCATCTACACAAACTCGTAGGTTAATATCTTGGAAAATATACTTTTGGAAAAACAATGCAGCAATAGTAAATCTTTTTATTTTTATTTGCTGGTTTTCTAAATAGTAATCATGTGAAAATCTCGCATAAGTACCATCAGACGATAATCCTTATTGCTAAGTTCTACTACATTAAATGAGAACCTTCTAATCATTTTGTTTCTTTTCTTCTAGTCCTTTCTTTTTATTTCCTTTTTTATGGGAGAGCTATGAACCTACTTTTTAGTTACAAATGTGGAGTGCTTATTCTTTTTAAAATAAAATTAACATATCTAAAGCTACAAAAATGTACTAAAGCAAGGATGGCTCCATAAAATTAGTGGCCTAAAGCAAAATTTTAATAAAAGATATTTTACTTTTTTTATTAGTATATATACACACATACGCAGAAAAAAGTTAGTGTTGCCATTTTTTTCATATTTGTTATGTATAGTATAACATTCTTAAATGATAAAGTCTTTAACTTCACATAGTAATATTATTATGTATATTAGTAAGAGGTAACTTAAATAAATAAGATGTTAGACATGTATTTTCAATATGTTACTTTTGATATTGTTGTAAAAAAATATATTTACTAATATGAAGATTTAATTAATTTGATTCAAAGTTCTAAAATATTTTTAGTGTTAAAGAGTAGACAATCTTTCTTTCTTTCTTTCTTTTGTCCAAGATTTTTTGTACTTTTTTTTTTGAAAACTTTAATATTGTCTAACTTGAAATAAAATCATAAATTCCATTATTAAAAAATTTTGGGGACCTAAACCAAAGCTTTACTAGTCTCCTACTTGAGCTACTTGTCCACCCCTGACATTCTCAATCAAATTTTATAGAGTCTCAATTAAGATAAGACAACAATCGATAAATGTGTTATTTAATTACCAAATGTGAATGAAGTTGGTTGAACATTACGTTCATGGGGAAGCGATCTATAAATAATTGTTGATAATTAATCGGGGCGGCTCAACAGAGCTGATGGCTTAAAACTAAAACATATTAAAAGACCCTGAATTCTTTTTCAAAACATCCATATAATATTGAGACAAAAGAAAAGTCTGTATGGCTTTGATCTAGTGGTGAGAGAGCAACGAATAATGTGTGGGTTAAGCGCACATCATATAGTATTGAATTCTCCCCTGTAAAAAATATAGCATTACGTAAAAATAGTAAAAGGGTTGTGTTTTGAACCTTATGACACTTGTCTCGGGGATTTCTTAGTTAAAAAGGATGAGACATAAAAGAATTTGCTTTCTGATGTGTGGATCAATCATGTGACAAAAAAGAATAGCTAATTTAGAGAATCTGAGGTGAAATTAAAAAATAAAATAGTAAAAAATATGAAAAAAGACTATACATAAAGAAAAACAAAATAGAATTGACGAGAAGCTAAATATATTATTTAATTTAGTAAGAGACAAGTTTTATCCTATTAACTCATTCAATCTTACCTCTACCAAATTTTTAAAAAATATTAAAATTTAAAATATTTTATCAAGATTTGTATAAATATAAATTGTAAGGCAAGAGCTTCACTTGTCTTACCCTAGAGCCGCCCTTGTACTAAAGTTCACAATTATCCATAGTTAAATTGTGAAAAATAGCCAAAGGGTAGAACTTACCCGCTCATGAAATTTACGCCAAATCAATGAATACATGATACATATTCCAAGCATATAAGTTGTATTGGGTGAATATTGGTGAATTGTTTGGTGAGATTGTCCTAAATATAGTTTAGGCAAAGGCAAAGAATATGAGCTGAGCACTTTTTTATGTGAAGTTGGACTGTTGCTGCCTTATTCAGAGGCGGATCCAGCTCTTTAGTATCTGCTTCGACTTAACTCAGTACTTTCTTTGTGGAGTATAAATTTATGTGTAAAAATATATTAAAATTACAATAAATAGTAGGCATGAACCCATAACTTTAAAAATAGAGAAAATGGTCAAATATGCCCTTATACTATTGAAAAGGGTCTAATATTATCCTCAGTTATACTATCTGTCCAAATATACCCCTAACATCATACTATCGATTCAAATATACCCCTGACATCATAAAATTGGTACACCTACCATTCCTCCGTTAACTGCCTCTGTATGACCACATTCATTGCCGCCTCACCATTTTACTCTCATTTTCATTCCTTCCCCACAACCTTTATTTCCCTTTCATTTGAAGAGAAATCACAAATCATAGATATACAAACAAACTATACCAAAAGAAATGCAACAACTAACAATAATATGAAACAATGTGAACCGAGAAAATTCTGATTTTCCTATTCACAATCCATGTTTGTACGAACGAAAATACATTTTATTTTATATAAAAACTAAGTGCAAACTAGTTTAAGGTTTCAAAATTGAAATCCATGGTGAGCGAGAAAAACAAGCTAGGCATGAGAGTTTTTTTTTTTTTTTTTTTTTTTTTTTTTGTTTTTTA